CATATTGMTTTCTAATTTGTTGTTGGTGCAAATTACAATCTTTTTGTAAGAAAAAAATACGAAATACCAATGAAAAAAAATCCGTTTATAAGTATACCCAATTGCTATTAATGAATAGTTAATAACAGGTTACCTACAGCCGAGGAGTATGGCAGGTCTTGCAGTGGCGGCCCCACGTGGATGTCTGGAAAATATATTAATTTACAGTATGTAATCTACATTACAGCAGCAAGTTATGTAGTAACAATATTCAACTAAGAAAAGACTCTCATAATACCAATAACTTTTGAAAGCTATAAGCGCAAAATAYATAAATCCCTTTTGATTTTCTTTCAAAACAATCCACGAAATTATACACATTTGGCTAATATACCACTCGAAACACTCAATACTTTAAAAAATATTAATTTCTCTATTAAGATCATCATGAGATTTAAGATAAACGTTGTAATATTTCGTATAGCTCGATRGAAGCAATAGAAGTTGATTTGATCTGTTTAAAATTCTAAACTTGATATTATCATATCAAGACTTTCTTGATTGGACCTTCAATTTGTTGTAGTTGGTGACATTGTAATATCTGATAATTCTCATTATTGTTATTTTGTATAATTTTCTTTTTGATAATCATTAATCAGTTTTATTTTTCTATACAAATTTAATACCTATGTTATTTTCATTCTGAATGTTGGAATAAATGAATTTTGTTATTTAAAAGTTTAAAACGACAAAGTTTAACSCATATATTAATTTACCTTATATAATTAACGTTTTTATTTCACTGTAACTCTTAATTCTCCTAGTTTAAACTTAAAATATGTTAGTTTGTTATTGAGGATTGAAAATTGTACCTACTTAAATGTAAACTTTTTCTATTACTGTCATAAGAAATTAAATGATATTCTTCACATATTTTTATTTAAATATTCATTATTTTTAAGATAAAATGTATCAATAATGTTAGGAAATAATTGTCTTCAAACCTTATTCATTTGAAACCATATATTCTGTCCCAGAAAATAMTGTTGCAAATARTAGCTTTTAGGTAGGTATGGGTAGAACATAAATTTCTACTATTGAAAAATGATAAATTTTGAAGAAAATTAGAAGAATGTTTATTTAGGCTTAACAGTCAGTAGAACACAAATTACATTTTAACATTGTTGAATTATTATATTTTGTTTTTAGCAAGTACTTAACCTGTTTGTTTGATGCAGTGGAATAAGTACTGGTACAATGTGCTAACTACAAATTAAGTACTATATATAAATGCATTATGTAATTAACATTTTAAAAGAAAAGTAATAACATAATTTATTTATTATATATTAAATCTTTGAAATATTTGTACTTCAATCAAATTAGAACTTCTAAATTATATTTATATGTTATTATAATGTATTAATATGTATTAACATTACATATTTCACTCAATATACTGAATTATTACAGAAATARGATTTTATGCACAATATACTATGCTCGGCAAGTTGTTATAGTTTTCAGAAGTATTTATTAACATTTTTTTTTTGAAAATTTATCTTGATAATAACTAAGACTATTTACTGTTAGCTTGTAGTAAAACTAAAACAAAGTAAATAATTTTGTAGATTTACCCTTGAAATGATTGCTTTTACTTTCTTATTTTTTAAACTATTACTTATTACTCTAGAAATTAGTCTGTTAATAAACATATATTATTGCACACATATTATGTTGACCCTAAAATATTATAATTCAAGTAATATAAGATATAATTAACTATCGTATTTTGTATGTTAAATGTTAACATGTAAATTGAATTACAAATTATTCATAATGACATAATACCCGTTATAATTAAGAGACATTTATATTTTAGTTATAATTAATCAATATATATTAATATATAATTAATCATTTTTGTATTATTTTGTTGTTAAAATAATATAGCACATTTAGAATGATGATTTCCATATATACATATAAGTCAAAGTCATATAAGAATTCCTAAATTTAATCCAATATTTTAAATAAATGTTTATTTTATTGCTAGAGTTGTTTAATTACATTTTAAGAATGCCAACCTYCTATTCTGTGATTAAAATTGGACTTTATTATTAGTTTAATTTAATTATGTTAATATCATAAATATTATTTTAGGATAAGATAAGCAACTTCCTGTTTACAATTAAAATCATAATTATTATAGCAACCATTTTGAAATGTAATTGATAAAGAACTTCTTTTTTTTGCATTTGTCATAAATAATAGCTCTTCAATAATTATAAAATGTAATAAGTTTTTAATTTTTTTGATATTAATAATTAATGGAAACAATAAATCTTTTTCTCTGTTACAAAGCGCTGACAATCAAACATATCACACTTGAATGCCCCAAGTTCACCAGCTCCAGACAAATTCTCGGAAACCCATCAACAATGCAACAAGCACTTGGCAAAGAGAACGCCAAAAACATATACAATTTTTTCAAAAACACAGGCTTAGCAAAACTAATTTAGAAAAATAACCAAATGTACATACATTTATATTATATTTACATTACATACATGTATATTCTATAAACTCCCTCTATTGTTAAACATAATGTATCCCAATAGTTTTAAGACCAATACTCTATATTAACCACTATTTTGTAAATCCTCAGTCTAATAACCTCAGGAGTTGAAGCCTTATTTAAATAAAAAAAAAAAATAAATAAATAAATCTTTTAAAATATAATTTAAATTAAATATTTTAAAATATTTTATACTATAATATAATAATTACTAATATACTAAATGTAAAACTTAATTAATTGTAAGCGTGTTAGGTAAGTCTTWTTTTCTGACAATATCCTAATTTTATGTATACATTTCCTAACATGACATACCTGTTAGGTAATACCATAAAACATACTTTTTCTCTAAACTAAGTTTAAATCATGACAATATAGATTTATTCTGTCATGGTGTAAATAACTTTACTCTWAAATCGATTGATTTACTTAGTTCTGGAGTGAACAATGTCATAAGTGCGGCTAAATACTTATAGAGAGTTTGCATGTTTTATGTAATATAAAWTTAAAACATAGCTTAGTGATATAAAAATCTGTTTCATAATATCTAGCCTACAGTTTTTTTTTTTACATATTTTATTCTTTTTCATGTGTTAGTAGAGTTAGACACTCACATAGATTCTTAAATTAGTAGTTTTAAATTTCTAAAAAAAATTGAATGTGTTTACACTTAAAAAATATTCAAATAAATTAGTGTGTTTTCTTAATCTGTGGTACATATTGTTATAACTATACAATATGTACCACAGATTAAGAAAACACAAACTAATTTATTTGAATATTTTTTAAGTGTAAACACATTCAATTTTTTTTAGAAATTTAAAACTACTAATTTAAGAATCTATGTGAGTGTCTAACTCTACTAACACATGAAAAAGAATAAAATATGTAAAACTATACTATAGTTGAAAATATGATCAACCAATATGCTATTATTAATTTTAGACGCACTATATTGTACATTAATAAAACTATTAATTTGGCTAATAATTAGTATGTATTAAATTAAATATAGAATTTTTTATACAAGTTTAATATTAACAAAAGATTTGAAGTCTAAAGATATGGTAATTAATATAGATTTTTACATCGATTTAATAAATTAATTTAATTTGTATAAATATTAATTTATGTATACTTTTTAAATCATGAATTAATATTACCAATAAAATTTTATTTCTGATATGTACCTAGTATAGTCAAAATATTTTAGTTTTGTAGGCGTATTTTAAGGTTTTTAAGAACATGAAGTTCGTAGCTCTAGTCATTATGACTAAAATTATACACAGATCAATGAGTCTGATTATTGTATAATGCTGTTGGTCAATTAACGTAGGTACCTTATATAATTTGGTATTTTAAGTTATTTTGAATTATTAAATATCAATGGATTTTAATATTATGGAAAAATAAACTACGAATATACCTAGGTCTTCAATAATATTATTGATTGTAGTCATACAACACAGCGGACTTAGATAATATATGAGCTATCTACGTTTCCGGATAGCCAATTTGTAAAATGTTTTTAGCACTCTAAAAATATTTGGTGTATTGAAACAATATTATATTAATGAACTAAAAAAAAAATAAAATGTTTTTAATTCTAATATCTGGATATACGGGTAAATATTAGAAAAGGTACACTGTGAGCAAACAAACGTGCTTCCAAGAGGAGTTCGAAGGTTAAAAAAAAGCTRTACAATAGATTCCCGAACGAATAGTTCGTAGGTAATCACTAACCACAAACGGACGGAAATGAGTTATTTATCAACAAAATAATGATATAAGCACTGAGCAATAACAATTTTATCGAACGCAAGAATGTAGTTCGTTAATTATTTTAAATGYAAAATACTAAAAATATATTAAGATTTTTACAAGTTTCGAGGCCGATATAACGTTTACGCGTGGTACTTATTTTGCACCACCATGACATAAGATAACGAACATTGCGTTTAACGTTCGATTCAAATTAAAACGAAAATGTATGACTCGTATTGTATGTATATTGTATAATATTACAAAACATTAAAATATTATAATTCTGTTTGTCTGCGTGTTATAAAACCATATTGGATGACGTTAATAAATAATAATAATATGATACGATTTCGTACGAATACGGACAACGGGAACGACCACTGTTATATAATAATTATTTTTAATGGCGGGCGACGGCGGCTGAACCGTATATATTTTTACCATCGATAGCGTGCGACGTTGGTCACACAAATCGATAGTGATCAAGGAAACGTGAAGCGACAGTCAACAGTAGGTAAACAATTTTATATGGAAAATTCTTGTTTATTATTATTATTATTCGTAGCAGCTGCAGCTGCCTGCGTCGTATCGGCGGCAACCGGTGATTAAACAACAATAGTGGTCCGTAGTCCGTACTGCGTCATTCGTGGTGGTATGAAAGAGAAAGAGCGCACCGGGTGAGCCGCCGGCGCGTGTATGTTTGGGTGGGGATACGGCGGCGTCGCAGGTCGGACGGCTGTTACCGTCTTCTCGACATCCCTTTAAAATATTTCAGATAACTATTCACTACCCGGATTGTGTGTTGTTATGTTGGATTTCCCGTCGATTTAGTGTTTACATTTTACGTGCATCGTGCGACAACGGAGTGTGCCGAACCGTCGGCGAGCGATACGCAGTACGCATCGTCTGGCCTCCGGCCGTTCGCGTCGCATTTTCGACCGACAACGGTCTGCCGTATTCACATCGTATAAACAATATTTTTTAAATTATTATTTTGTTTTGCCTCTTGACGACACTCGAATTACGACCCAGCGCCGCCGAGACGATATCGCTTCAATTCTAATTTTATTAATATACGATTTATTTTTTGAATTTATTTTATGTTCAACGGTTTTTCACTCTTATTTGATTTCTAAAATGGCTCAACAAAAATCGAAGATTATAAATTTTGACAACTCATTGCGCATGTACAACCGAAAGGTGCTCAGGTAACGTACCATATTATGTTTGACGACTATCTTAAAGAAATGTATCCATTATTTTGTTATATTTTGACCGCGTTCGAATCGTGATAAGCGATTGGAAATTTGGAAACGTTCGAAACATAGCGCCGTGCAATAACGTATACGTTTATTACGGACGGGTTTTCTGTTAATCGTTATTCTGTTAATTTGAAGTATAACACTTAACATTATCTACAGCAGCAAGACTGTCGGCAACACCGGACAATCGATATCATACGCTCATTATCACGACGGTAGACTCTTTGTTGCTTGTTCCTTATCAGTTAWCATAGTGCCTTGTATCACATCATTATTATGGCGAGCGAGTCCAGAATATTTGGATGGCTTATTTTRTGTTAGAACTGGTTAGAGTAATGATAATTTCGGTATTGTTAAATTATAAAATTTCGGACTGCACGCTTAAATTTATTGCTTTAAACAAAAATCGTATGCACTACCATCCATGAAAAAGCAATGTATTACACTATTAAATGTATAATATATATATAAATATAAGTATAATAATTTAACAATAGAATCAAATAAAGTTACTAAATTAAGGAAATACTCTAGTAGCTAGCATATTATGTAAGTTTTGTTTGTAGATCGTTGTGCATCCTTGTACATTCGTGGTGCACATATTAATAGGGYCTGAATGATATTATGATTTCTGACCGTGTGTAGTCTATTAATGTCGTTACTCACCGTCTTATGATCGCTGTACATTGAAACTAATATTTGAAATGAATATTTTGCTTAATAGTTAGGTACCTACGTAAAATCATCGTTTTTGTGTTATCTTATTTTTATATAATATACCTGTAATAAGATCACCTGATTATTTATAAATGAAATTTCAATTCTAACCGGTGAATTTGTTTTACTGCGTGCACCGTGATTTGTATTAATATATGGTTTAAATACAGTATTTTAGTATGATCGAAAAATAATATTACTATTTAGGTATATTCGAAGTGAATTCGATGGGCACACGGATAGTATGCGTTTCTTTTGTATCTACCGTAATGTTAATTTAAATGTGGGCTTGGCATGTTGTAATTAAGTACCTACGCAAGACAATTAATAAAAAATATTTTGAAATTATCAACAAAATGTTTATAGAAAATAATTTTTTTTTAATATGTTGACTACGGCGAATGAGACGTCATTCATAAAGTATCTGTTTTTCACATCTCGCGTTTCTATTGTATTATTATGCTTGTGTTATAAATATTTGTACCTATATAGGACTTGATAAATCATTTGTTTATATTATTTTTAATAATTAATATTCCATCAAATTATTCACCAATTGTGAAACACGAAATCACTTTTATCTTTCTGTTTGAACGTAACTAAATATCCTACCATTCCTACCTAAATAAATAAATATATATTACGATTTTGAAATTAATTTGTATTAAGAGGACGCCACACCCGCTGTGTTGTCTTCGTCGTACAAGTACGTAGCATAGCAAATTTTACGCTCAGCAGATCACGTTTATCTCCGTTATTTTAAAATTT